CATCTAGGGTCCAATTGAATTGTAACCCTAACAAGGCTTGGCATGAACACAGAGATTCCCAATATACAGACTGGAGTCTCAGGCAATACATGACTAAGGTAACCTTGAACCTGCTTACGTGGACAAGGCAGTACTCACGTCATGCTCCACCAAACTATCTTGGCTCTAATATCCGGCCGGCATGCCCGTTTCGCCGCTTCGGATATTACGCGGAAATAGCCCAATAACTTTAAATTTTAACGCCCGACAAAGGGGCCTCACCGATAAAGGACCTGAAGGTTACACAAGCTGAGCACATGACCGGGCAAGAGTATTAAGCATAAATATTTCCTTTATATATTTAACCAATCTTATCCTTCCTCTAAGAAAACCAAGGACCCTTAACACCCTTTAAGATTATCTTTGAAATCGAGTCATTTACTCCAAGCCTTCCATGAAATCCTTGTCACATCGGACGCACAGCGCAGCAAGCGGCTAACCACCTTGCGCTGGTATGACCTGACGTTCACCAGGGATGCCCTCAGCAACTGGAGTAGAGGTGCTGGGGATACTGAGACCCTGCATTAAATCTGTGAAATATATCCCTCGTCCAATTTCTCGCCCCACGGGGTGCTAGCTCCCAGTCCCGTCAACAAAATGAAGGCAAAGAACAATTTCTCCATTCCATGTGATCAAGCGCTCCACAATGTATTATGGAAGTCATTTGGGTATTAGATAGAGAACTAGGGGGGGGGGGTCAGAAAACGAAAGGGAAGCAAACCTTGCCCAAGGACTGGCAAAGTGGCTGTATATGTTATGACGACGACTTTCTAAGGTCCTTTGCGTTCTTTGGGACAAATTTCGGTGTAGGCGGTGTACTCCTTTTGGTATTAGACAACTTTGACGGTTCGCCTTGGCCGTTGGGCAAAACAGACATGGATCTTCCTTTGCAGGGTTTGGGGCCAACAAAGAGCGAGGCAGTAATGAGGCGGGAGAACATTTTGTCTAGTTGGAAAATATCTGGTAACTAGTTTGAACATACTGAATAAAGCTTGTGGCTTGTTTACTATTTTAAAGCTAAAGGTTGGTATCTTTTCATACTTGTCATTTCTCTTTTCTTTCTCCCTCTTGCCTCTTAGCAAGCTGGCCCAAGGGCAACAGTATTCTATTTCAACAACTATTGAACTTTTACGTATTACCCCTCGTTTGTACGTCCAATTGGAAAGGTACAATCTATTGAGCGTGGAAAGAACTTGACTATTGATTTAACAGGTCGTATTTACAGCAACTAGAATCAGCCTTACGTAGGTTTTATGACAACGTAAGCCCTTGTCATAAATGTAAGCAAAGCGGTGAGCCGGGCGGGTCAAATTTGAGGCTTTCGAAGCTGCTATCGAATTTGCGGATTATTGCTTGCGGACCATTGCTTACGGACCATTGCTTACGGACCTGCCCTAATAGCCCTAGCAGCTTCAAAAGCTTCAAAAGTACGTACCGGCCTTCAAATTCAAGCCAATCATAGCAATTTAAGGCCCTCTAAACTAATAGCAGGTCGAGTTTGAACTACATATGGCTTGTAATTATAGTGGCGCAGCACCTATAACCACTCATTAAAGAACCAAATCAGGAAGCTCCGCTCCCTTGCTTGCCTGCCCTTTGCATCAATGACGCGAACCTCAAGCAAAGCGCCGCTTTGCTTAATCATGAGTCATGACCTGGGGATCTGCGGCTCCAGCTTGACAAGGCACACAAAGGTCCACTATGAAGGCGCAGCGCTGATGGAGATGGAAATATCCCGAGCGATCACAGTTTGTCGCAGCATGGCGCCGCCCCCGTTTCTCACACACCAAGTCAATGGGCGGTGCAGCCTTGTTGCGTCACATTTGGTCCATAGACTCACTTCACGGCTCGGAGCAAAATATGGTAACTTTGGGCTACAAGGACGCCAATCCATCCCGATTCGCTACGTCGCTTCGTAAATTAGGAACAATTTGAGAAGTCGCCTCCCTGGTTCCAGTTCCATCCACCAGCCTTTCTGCCTCCCTGCACATCAGCCACTTATGACCAGAATTTGTTCAGAAGCCCACAAAAATTGTCTCTTATGGTCAGTCTTAACGTCTAAATGCAGGAGCCCATGGGTGGCAGCTGGTCCGAATCCAATATGCCGATGTATATCGGCAGCTGGGTCCCGACGAAATCTGGTTGTTAGACCTCTTTCCCGTTGATCCATCGCAACCAACATGTACATCCAAACAATCTATGTGAAATGTTCCAGTTATATACCATGTCTCCAAACTTCAATTAAATAGAAGCGTGAGAATCTGGGAACATAAGATATGTCGCCTGCACCGGCGCAACCACAGCATCGTGGAACTGCTGCCTAAACTGTGCGACGCCAAAGTCCTTGCACTGATCCCGTCCCTGGGTATAGAATTTACGTATTGCTCCACCGCATATCCCTGTGAGTCTCCCGTGGCCCAGTGTAGCAGACATTAATTCGTGTTTTTAGCGCCGTTTCATAGTTTTGAAACAGAGACTGAATTTTCGCCCGTCTGTTGAATCTGCACCAAAGACCTTTTAATGCAAAGATCGATTAGTATAATGACAAGGGCGAAGATGGTTCTGTTGGGAATGAGATGCTTGAAGTCGTCCATGGGTGGCTCCTTCGGGGTGGTTCCCGATGTGAAAATGTACGAAGCATACGGGTGACGCGAGAGCATCTCCCTTCTACTTTGACTGTTTTCAATTAGAATCTTTGTTTGGTGTTCGTTCCAATCATCGCCAAGCCAGGGGCTGCTGCTCAGGTGATAGACTGACCAAGCTATTGAGGCGGCGATGCCGTATCTCTGTTTCGCGGACGTGGAAAAATACGAGCATCGTTGCCGCATTGACTGTTGATGAGATGAAAGTAGAGACTTCAGGGGAACTGCGCTGATGACCTTTGTTGAGTCCGTTTGGTTGTGGCTAAGGGCGAATCGTCGATGCCCGTCTTCTTCTGGGGCTTTGAGGATGCCTGACGGAGCCCATTCACGACAGCCCACACAGATCGCATCACAAAGACTCACTATTTAGTTACTCATGATGGAAGGAGCAATAGTCGATTCTCCGGATAATGTCGGCGAGATTGGCGGTGGTGATGGTGTCCGCATATGTGAACCGAACTCAAAACGTGCTTTCTTGGATTTCAGATAAGAGGCTGGGGAGGGAGCATTAGCCGAAGAGATTGATGGCGTTTGCACCTTGGAAGTTAAACTAGGTATCTCATCTCGAGTATCTAAAGTAAGTTGAATGTTTTGCCACAATTCAGACAATTGAGGGCGAGGGTCTGTCTCATAAGAGATGCCACTTTGAAACATTGGGCTGCATCTGATTCCAACCCTTGCCAGTCGAGACCGATGGCGGCCTGGTGAGGCTCAGAACAGGTAGAACAGAATCCAGACTGAAGCGCTCCATGAAGAGAGTAGATACATTGATGAATGAAGTTGCACCGCTGACTGTTGAAGCGACGCTTGAGGTCTTGAACTTTGTGACTGTCATCTTCAGCAGGCACTTCAGCTTTTCCAAGGACCCTTTCTCAAATCTCCGTTCAAGTACCTGAGCTCCTCGACCACTTTGTTACTCTCTTTTGTGCTAAAGCTATGTTAGACTCGATGCCATTCCCATTGAGTCTTCGTCGGCAGGGCGTTCCTCTAATAGTATATTCGCTGGTTAGATGAGGTTCAATTCTGCGGCAATTCCATGCATCGGAGCCTGTGCATTTCCGTTGAAGTCAATATCTAGGTCCTCAATCGGCCTGCTGAACGATAAAGATCAACTGGAGAGAGGTGTCTGTGAACTTGGTACAGAAACAGTCCCGCAACTCTTGTCTTTATGGCTGAGTACCGAGTCCCAGATTGGAGTGAGTTAACCTCAATTGTCGGTTTACAAAAACAGGTTAATCCGGAGAGTCTCTATCGAGGTTCTATAATTTTGAACGACCTCCAAAGGCTCTGCATATTTCTCAAGAGCCCAGATCACGGCGGTATGCCGCCCAGAACGAGGCCAGCGGCTTCAGCCATGGTTATTGTATATCGGCGCCTAGAATGATGAACATATACAAAGCTATTCCAATGGTGATATGCAACGTATAACGGAGTGCTCCACTTGCCTAGTAGGTATCTGATGTATGGCAGCACCAGTCGCTTCACTGGTGCAAGATAGATCTCGACAGAGGATCCGTCGTCAAAGAGTGAATTGTTTGAGTGTGTCGCGGTCCGACCTCTTATGAGTTCAGTTGCACGTTTGATCTGATTCGATCCGCCATGCAGTGCTTGGCAATACATGGTCTTCATTGGCTCGGATATTGTCCGTACTGCGAGTCAAATTCCCTCATCGAGATCTGTTACAAGGGCAGGGTAGCTGGGCTTAGAAGGTAGTGTTAAATTTGAACTATAATAATCTACTTTAGGGTGTGAAAGGTGCTTGATTTTTCACGAGGCCTTAAGGGGCCGGAGGTCTCTATAAATACGAGAAGCCTGTCAGGGCGAGTGCCTGACGCAGCCTGAGACGGCGCTCGCTTAGGACCGACCTCGGGCCTCGTGATGAGTCCTTCGTTGTTGTGCATTATGTAACCATTGTTGGCCCAACGCCCCCTGGTTGGGAGCCAACCGTGTGACAATTTCAGGCCAGAATGTCAGGTTCCAGAGTGTCACACGGCCAAAATTTAGACAAAAGTATCAGACTACAAAGGTTACACAACAACAAAGAAAGGTATCACGAGAGACCAGAGTCAGACCATGAGCGAGGGCTGCTTCAGGCACTAGCCCTCACTGACTTCTTGTATTTATAGAGACCTCTGGTCTCTTCAGGCCTATTAAAAAACCAAGCAACTTTAATACCTTATAGTCGATTATTAAATTAATACTTGAACCCCACATTGTAAGCCCAGGTATCCTGCCCTTGTCACATGCAGATTCTCGACTATCTTGAACGCCGAGTGAACGTCGAAACATTAGTGATCAAATATTCCCTGGCTCATCGTCATGGTTGACTCCCCAGCTCAGGTGACTAGCCCAACGCTCTCAGAGTTGTACCGAGAGGGCGTTAAGGCTTTCAGGGGGTTTCTGCAGGCCTTAAGCGAAGATGACTGTCGCGTAATCCATCTGGAGCAGGTTCATCTTCCTGACCTGCTTGACGAGTATGGAAGGATCCATATCTGGGGATGTCAGACCAAAGCAGACCTTCCCGCATATGCTCCTGGCTCCTTGGATGATACACTGCGACACGACAATGAGCTCCAACCTATAGTTTTGGGCATTTTAATGCGGCTGAAAGAACTCCTCAGCGAAGGCAAGTTGCGTCTTCCAGGGACATGAGACTTCCATCTGACCATCTTCAGCGACATTTATTGCTCAAAAGAAGTATGATCCCAGCGCCGGTTCCGATCATGATTCGACTAGCAGTGTCAGCGCCGAGTCGGATGTTGATTCGGACGACGATGTCAAATACCAAAATAACAGGATGCCAAAGATTCGTCTGCTTGTCCAGCTTATACTGGAGCAGATCGGTTCACTCTTTGACTTTTCTGCATTGCGCCGGCGCCAAAAGATTACAGACAAGCATATCATCTCCATTGATTCAAAACCGCACGTATCCGCGCCAAGCAACTCGGACACCCTGCCACTAAGCACCTGTCTGACCAGCGCCGACGAAAGCCATGTGACGGAGAAGGTATTCCAAGACCCTGATGCCAACGAAGGAGCTGTCTTAGGGGTAGGCAAAGCGGACGAAAATAACTAGAAATTCACTGAGTCAAGCAGGCGATAAGTGCAGGTCCTTGAGGCAATAATTGGGGGCTCGAGAGGTCCGAGAGGCCCGAGGGTCGTGATATTTACTTTTTCTTGGGTTTCGAGTAAGGGCTAGGACGAGGGTCATCATAGGAGTCCTCGAGGGCTTCAACAGGGTATAAGAAGGCTCAATTTTCCGGGTTTTGAGGGCGTTTATTTTAGACTATCAGATGTCGAAAATATCATCGTTTTACACCATCAATATGCCTCATTCCACTGCCTTGAATTACTGTTGATAACTCCACAGGGATAAGTATTTGATTACCCTCCATGATGTTAGCCAGCAAATGCGATCACATACTTTCCCAGCCTCACGTAGAGTGAACTAAAATAAAGATACGGGCAAGGTATGTACAAATAGCATCAACGTAAATGATGTATGTGGCATTACCGTCTTTGACCAATATCCCGCCCAATAGAAACGACTCGACAGACGCCAAGCAGCAAATGCGACAAGGGCTTGATGCAAGGGCTCGGGGCGTAATGAATCTATTCACAGATAAACTTGTAGGACATCAAACGTCCTTGGTTTTTTAAAGGAACGTAGGGACGGGTGACCACTATAGACATGAAGGGAAAATTTATGCCTAAGGTTTCCACTAGGTCATGTGCTCAGTCTGTCACCTGAGATCCTTTGTTGGCGATGCTTCTTTGTTGGGCTTTGTTGTTGGGTCCTAAGCGTGTCCCAGCTCGGATCTCTTTGTCCATGCAGAGCGAGGCGAGCGTAGACCTTTCCAGACATCGGGAACATCAGCCTCCCTTGCCGGCAAGCTATACTGCGAAAAATAAAAAGCCCAAGAGACATTCCGGAGAAAAACACCTAACAATGGAAAGGCAGGACGAGAAGAGGTAGACAATGATGGAGCATGGGCAGGCACAGCTTCTAGCGACATCTCATCCAGGTCAGAACAACTGGCTGGATATGTCTCCGGAACCCATGTCGCCATCAGCTGCCGGTACTCAGACATCACGAGAAACACTCTGGGAGGAGGCATACGATTCCCTCCAGGCAAGAAATTCCAGACTCGTGACTTGGTACGAGACGATCCTTACTCTAGAATTGAAGAGCACTGTTGCAAATCTGCCGTCACGGAACGCATCATCTGACACATTTCGGAACCTGATCGATCAACGAGACTGGGAGACCAGGCGGGGTAAAATGAAGCATCTTCTCGGTCTCTGGTTTCGGGGGAACGGTGTTTTCCTCTTTGATATCATTAGGGCTACGGCTTCGATGACGCCAGAAGAGGCAGTGCTTGCCTGGGTAGCTGCGAGCTATGCAGCATCGAAGGTGTGAGAAGTCCCGGCAAATCATGGCACCCATGATGCGTTTGTTAACAGAGAAGCAGATTGTTTTTCGTCCAACCAAAGAAAACGAGGATGACTGTCGAGGCCTTATCTACATCATATCCAGGATGGAATGGTCCCGCCGTCTGCCCAGAATGCTGAATGGGGCAGCAAAAGACGACAGAGTACCCACGGAGCTCAAGCACTGGATCATATCTCTTTACACAGCTATATTGTCCTATCTGATGACAATTGTGTGCTCCCACTCTCATAACCTTAGCTTCAGGAAGCCCAGCGATATCTCTTACTGTCAGTCTCGGGGGGTAGGCCTGACGATGTAGGCCTGACGATGGTTTACAAAAGCCGCTCAAATCGTTAGTAGCGGCCATCAGCGTGAAATCACAGAAATCGGCCGGTAATATTGAGCAGCCAAAGCCCTCTCGGGAAACGACGCAAGTGCTCAACTATCTTAACGTGCTCGATCACAGACCCAGCATCTCGGCTGTTGAAATTGACTCAAGTCACCCAACAGACCAACTGTACCGAGCACTGTTCTCAACCAAGGAGTACGAATTCTTCCGAGGCTGGGATAGTACTACAGAACCAGAGAACCAGTTGCTTTGGGTCCGCGGTGAACCCGGCGTGGGCAAGACCATGCTCCTTACGGGGACTGTGCGAACACTTCTATCAGCGACAGCCCAAGACAAATCTGACCGTTGTTTCTTATCCTTTTACCTTTTTGATCGCACAGAAAAACGCTCCAACAACGCCGCATTGGCCTTGAGAACAATCATATGGCCATTCTTGTGTACCAACCGGACGTATGTACACACCTGACTAGGAAGCTTGACTCAACTAGGCGTCGACACCTTAATGGCCCTAATGAGTTTTTAGCCTTGTCTGCGATTTTCTATGACATGATAGAAGACGAAAGTTTTGCAAAAAAATACATAGTTGTTGATGCCCTTGATCAGTGTATGTCCTGCAACGGTCAGCGAGGGGTTGATGACTTTCTGGCCCTGATCACCAAGTCTCTAAAATTGTCTAAGAAGATTAAATGGCTCATTTCAAGTGACGAGTCAGAGTTCTTTAAGTCGACCTTCATGAACATTGGCTGCCGACATGCTGACCTGAGCCAAGGCTTGCTGGGCATGGACGTCGCAATGCACGATTACATAGCGGCCAAAGTAGGGATCTGACCAGAACGAACAAGTACGACGAGGATCTCGAGGAAGAAATGGTCAGAGAACTTCATTCGGCGTCTCAGGGTAACTACCTTTGGGTAAGTATCGTCTGCGAAGCTCTACGTTCTGAAGAGGCTTAGTATGCGGCCGATCTACTTCACGCGGTCAAAGGGACAAGTGTCTTAGACGACAGCCTTTATAACCACTTGTTTAACATTTTTAAAAGGCTTCCACGTCGGGATAAGGAGTTCTGCACCGAGATCCTCGTAACAATGGCTCTCGTGCACGACACATTACGCATTGATGAACTAGATGCTCTCGTACACTTGGAAAAGAAAGTGGATTTAATGAAGTATTTGAGCAAGTGCTCGGCGTTTCTACGCACAGACGATGGCCGACTCTCATTTCTGCACCCTTCAACCAAGGCTTACATACAGAAACAAGACTTGGATCCCAGAACATTACCTCGACGGTATTTGTAGCTAACGCAGGCTTGCATCGAGTTCGTTGGGCAGACACTTGTGAAGAACAAGCATACGGTGAAATTTCAACTCACGGATGGCGATATATCGACAGAATACGACCCTGGTTACTACTCCACCCTCCACTGGATAAGGCACTTGTCTGAGATGAAAGACATCACCAACGATGACGGCGTGCGCAAAATGGTCTTTTGATTCCTCCAGAATCACTTTTTAGACTGGGTTGAGGACCTGGTCCTGCGAGAGCAGTTGTCTGCGGCAGCAGCCAAACTTGAAGGCCTCGATTTGTCGTTACAGCGACGGTCAGTAAGTTTTGCGACGGCCTCTATTTGAGTTACCCAACACGGCAATGAAGTTTACCTTGTTGCTTGACTAACGGGTGTATGCAGCCCCAAGACCCAAGCAGCGAAGAGCCGCTGGCAGCCGCTATCCGAGACGCTCACCTCTTCCTTCGACTGCGCCAATTAATTAATAGCCCTAAGGGTGTTCATGGGTGCAACACGCTTCTGTTTTGTCTGATGGAAAGTATCATCAGAAACTTGTAGATAAAGGACACCCTGCCGTGGCTTTAAACCCCCCCCCCCCCCCCCCCCCCCGCCCCGGGGGGGGGGGGGGGGCTCATGGAGGGACAATAGGGTCACAACTTTTTTAACATTCCGAGGTCACGACGACTATGTACGATCTGTGGCCTTCTCGTCAGACAGGAAACTCATAGCTTCCGGCTCTGACGACTCAAGCGTCCGCGTTTGGTATGCTGAGACGGGCACGACGCAACATAGGTTTACGATACGCAAAGGGTGGATGGGCAGCGAAGTGAATTGTCTCCCAGATCAGCCTGGGATTGTGCATGCGGCTTGCTTCTCGGATGACGGAAGCAAGCTTGCGGCGGCTAGTTCCCGGGCAGTGAGGATCTGGGATCTCGATAGTGAAGTGTCTGCGTCCAGGACGTTCAAGAGCTATGATATCGAGCATACAGCTACAAGTAAAAGATTGTCTGCAAAAACTGTAAACTACTAGCTACAGGCTCTACTGACTTCGAAGTCAAACTCTGGGATGTGAGCTTCATCTGAGATGTGGAAAAGGATGCGAACGGTGGAAAGAAGGATACTAGTGAACTGGAAGCAACAAATGAGAATACGGAACCTGAAGAAGGAACGCCTGTGATTAACACCGAGAATTGGTTGAACGGCAGAAGAGACTCGGATAGGATCGAACGCAGCCAGCCCCATCTCGGCACAGAGACTACGAAGCTGCGTGAACCACTACACAGACTGAAGGGTCATACAGGGGCAATCAGGTCTATCGTGTTCTCGTCCGATTCGAAGAATATCGCCTCCGGGTCTAATGACAGCACAGTCCGAATCTGGGAGCTGGACACCGAGGAGCCCGAAGCACGTAAGCCTCTTGACGGAAGGCGAGGTGCCGTCAACTCCGTTGCCTTGGCTGCCTATAAAAATGGGCATCTCCTCGCTTCCTGCACAGAGAGGGTCGTTGACTTCTGGGATTTCGGAAATGGAGAACATCAGCAAGTGATGAGATCACCTTGTCGAATACTGTGCGGCGGCCTCGCTGCCTCACCGAATCGAGCCTATCTCGCTGCTGGGTCATACGAGGGCACAGTAGATCTCTGGCACGCCCCTAGGAAGCGAATAGAACAGGAACCCGAGCCAGCGAGTTGGGTAGAGCCTAGGTCACCGATTGACATGGCTCTGAGCCCCGACGGCCGAACATTGGCTGTAGCTCAAGTTGGAGAAGATGTATTACTCTGGGACATTGAGACGAACGAGCTCGTGAATCCTCGCATAGATACTGGGCATACAACGAAGATATTGTCTGTTTCGTTCTCACCCAAGCATGGGGCGATGCTGCTCTCCTCTGGTGCTGACTGCAGCGTACGTGTCTGTGATGTCAAGACGGGGATGCGACTACACAAATTCCTTGGCCACACAGACTGGATTGGATTTTCCACATGGTCGCCGAATGGAGATTACGTAGTCTCCGCTTTGGATGATGGTACCATTCGTATCTGGAAGATGGGAGACAGAGACGAGCAGGGACCTCAAATCCTGGAACAGGGTGATTGCTTTGCCACGGGCGTCTCCTTTTCCCCCGATGGGAAGCACATCGCGACGTGCGGCACCAACGGAAAGGTCATGGTATGGGCATCACAGAAAGATGAGAGTGGTTGGAATCTGAAGCACACGTTGGAAGGCCACAGAAGCTACGTGTTGAGCGTTCTAATCTCCCGGGACTCGAAGCAGGTACTCTCATCGGGTGCGGATAAAACAATCAGAATCTGGGACATTGAAAGTGGCGATAACGTAAACAAGGACTCACCCATTGAGACAGAGTTACACATTGACAAGATGCGGTTTGATAAGAACCCGTCGAGCCACGTTATGACACCATAAGCAGGCAAGTCGCTCGTCAGCTCTTCCTCGGGACCATCTCAACTTCCTTCATGGAGTCCGTACTGGATTTCGTACAACAAGGATGAAGATGAGGCGTGGGTCATGTGGCGTGGCGAGAAGGTCATCTTTCTCCCTAAACAGTTCGGGCCTAGTGCTTGTGGTGTCTTTGGTCACAGAGTTGTAGTTTGCACAGATTTCGGACAAGTTCATGTTTACGGATTTTCCGAGGCCGTCACACCTGATACTCGATGCAAGAAGCCCCCCACTCCAGCCGTATCAACGTTGGAGTTTCTGCTCCCTCTGGCTGCGTTTACTTTTTAGAGCATTCGACAGAGTGAGCCGAAGTGGCGGGACTTCGTGGGCTTGTGCTTGGTCGGGGACGCTGCGGAACTGAGCAAGGAATGTATGAGGCTCGCAGTCATCACTGTACAACCAGAGTTGATAGTAATGCGATTAATATCAAGCGTAAAGGAAGGTACTTGGTGACTGGTAGTAGTCTTTGGTAGCGAAGGTTCTCGGATTTCCTCGAGGCCTAGATGACTAAAGACCTTTATTTATACGAGAGTCGGTGAGAGTCTCATACCCTAGGTCTCGTGATCGTAACCTGTGTGACTGTTTGACACTTGGCATCGTTGGCATCTGTGAAGCGCAACGCATCTACTTTCAACCTAGAAATGTGTAGTAAACTGGCGCTACCGGCGGCTGCAAGTAGGCTTCGCTGAATGTAATTGTAAACTCGTGGAGAGGGAAGGGAAAGACCCTCTCCGCCCTTTCCCTCGTATAATTAGGTTTTATTCTACCTCTATCCGAAGCGTATTTAAAGCGGGTTTGGTGCAGACCCAAAAGTCAATATTACAGACACGAGCTCCGAGCTCGAGTCCATAATAACATGCACTGTCGTTAAAACATGGGCAGTTGACAGACTTTATCGGTGGCTTGCTCTCATCCCGGCTTGCCACCGTGGCGGCCACATACCGTGCCAATTATGTGTACCACCAAAGTTTATAGCGAACTCAAATTCTCATCTTGATAATGTAGTCGGCCGTTCCGAGTCGAGCTTCCTTCACCATATTAACCGCTTGGAAATATCTGATCAAATACAACGTGGGAGCACCAGTCGACTCTCATAGGCTCCAAGTCCTCCCTTTACGAGCTGTATCGGCTCACATTCTAGAAAAGCTGACTGAATTCGCGTATACTATATAATAAGACTAAAAAGGTTACGCATAAATGCGTTATAATTTACACAAGTTGGTAGAGCTATGGCAGAAGACGACTCATCGATAGACTACTGCAAGACTGCAAGTGGCACGTCGACAGTTTTGTCCCGCAAGTAGTCAGCAAATCCTTTGCCAAATGCATCCAGTCTCGTCGAGCTACTCACACCCCGTTCCAAAATGCCGTATATGACGAAATGAACCGCGTAAATGTGGGGGAATTCAACCCGTTCTACGGTGTAGCTCGGGTCGGCGTCTTCACCCAACAGCTGCCACATTCGCTCACGAGATAACCATGATCGCAGCCACTCCCATTGCTTCTCTGTTCGGACAAATACACCGACATTCAGATTTGGCCCCTTGTCTCCGGACCGTGCAAGAGCAATATCTCCAAGGCGGATAGATTTGTGTGCCCCCGTGAAGGCGACAGGGTTGCTCGTGTCGTAACTATCTCGAGGAGTTGACGTCTTGGACGAGAAGGCAGGTGCATTGCCTGCAAGATAGGAGGATGTCGAAATGGTCTGACCGGATTCGTCAATTCCAATCAGATGTGCTATCTCCTTGAGATGAGCCTGCTGGCACAGGGCGGGATAGTATGCAATGTACGGCCTTGGGATGGCAGTTCTCATGTCTAGGGCACAGTGAAATCCTACTCGGAAAAATCAGAATACCGGAGCGCACGAAATGATTTTCTCATTATGGGAGCAAGACCGTTGACTAACCGGAAAAGTGTTTGAGAGAGATGTTTTTGAAAGCATTCGCGACTTCCAAAACCCCCTTTGCGTCTTTGCCTTGGGCTACTACCCTGATGTACATGGTGCTGCTAATCTGGTTGGTTGGATTTGTAGCCGGGGTGCCAATTCTATCCCAGAATCAGGGTCAGAGGACCGTTTCATAAAGGGAAGAGGTACCGTATCTTACCGTTGAAACTGGAGGAGATCAAGATCTTTCACTTTGACACCAAGATTACGGCGGACTTGCTGTTCCAACAGAGCACATTTCTCCTCCCAGCCGTACCCTGTAGCATTGAACAGCAGCTGGCACTCGTAGCCGCCTTTATAAAAAATAGCTAGCTTTGTTGTTGGCGGAGGAGGAAGCCCTCTGATACCCGTAACAAGGACTCTATGGATAAATTAGCATGGGCGTGCAGGAGAGCGTAAGAACTCAAGCAGGGGATCGACTCACCTATTTTCGCCAATGTATTTTACATCTACACCATCTAATACTGCCTTGGTGTCGCTGTGCATGTAGACATTACCTTGCAGCTCATAGAGTAGCTGACACTTGACGGTGTCTTCGTTTACAACACCTCCAGTCCCGGGATGTTTGGTAATTACACAAGATCCATCGTCACGAACCTCGGCAATCGGAAATCCAGGGTCGACAAAACGATCCAGTCCACCGTACTGAGGTTCTGTGAATCCAGCAAAGTTCCCCCCGGTGACGTATGCAGAACACTCGATCAAATGGCCTGCAATCAAGGCGCCGGCCAACCTGTCATAGTCAGCCGTGCTCCAAGACCACCAATACCAGGCCGCTGCAATGACGGGTGATGCATCGGACACACGTCCTGCGATGACAATGTCAGCCCCGTGTTGGAAAGCGGTCAGGATGCCCCGAGCACCGAGATACGCATTTGCCGAGACGATCTGGGCCCCCGTGGCCAGGTCCTGAGCGTCTTGAATGTACGAACGGCCCTGTGCTTGGTTGGAATTGGTTGATGATTCATCCAGGTGTGGGAGCAGCGCAGAGTCCAATGTCGGGGGCATATTTTGGCCGACCTCATGGCGTAAATCATCGCCGGTTACATAGGCAACTGATAGTGAGTACCGTTTCTCCTGGACCAACATGGCGATTTTCTCAGCTAGTCCCTTGGGATTGAGCGCACCACCATTTATAGCGACCTTGATACGCTTGTCGTTAATCACATCGAGGGTCTTTTCCAGACCTTCGAGTGCAGACATTTCGTACCCAGGATGAGAGCCTGAAGCGAATGCTTCGGCGTTTTGAGCAATGTTGACCTCTGCGAATGAGTGAGTATAAAATTCCAGGAGACCATACTTGACATCTGTTTAACCCACATACCGGCGAGGTAGTCACCCGTGATGAAGTCGACATCTCCGAGAGTGGCCTGCTTGTACATTTCTATCGCAGGATCTCCTTGAAGAGCATGGTTGATTAGCGAACTGATTGACGGTTTTTTTGGGGTTTCTGATGCGCACCACAGTAGCCGGAGCAATTCGCTATGCGGACTGCTCGCTTGCCGAATGCTGCCTCACGCCAGGACGACATCTTGAAGTATAACTTTGTATAATCTCTGTAGGAATCTTTAGACCTGTTGCTAAATCAGAAAATGCCAATGACCCCGGCTGGCGGTTCGTCGACTTTATAAGTGAACCGCCTCTGTTGTGGATGAATGCCAACCGAGGCTCTTGACATTGTTTCTCCAAACGCCCGGTGAACTCATGGCCACCAACCTGCCATCGATACTACGTGCCGACCATCCTTGCGAGTTTATGACGTTGCCGACACTTGCGTCCCAAAAACTCCGAGAGCCTGGCTGCGCCATGTTCAACCCCCACGGAGTTTCCGGAGCCGTCACGACCTGATGGAGTTTTGAGCGGGGCACATGTCAAAACTCCGTTCAATGGGGGGGCATCTACTCCGTATTCGAGCATGCAATACGATTCCCTTCTGTCTAGTGCGAAGATGGCGACGTGCCGGGGACACCGGCTTACTCCGATCCGAGTCGGCTGATGCAACACTCAGTTTGTCAGTCAGATTATATAAAAGTAAGCGTGGCCGTTGTATAAAAAGAATAGAATAAACAGAGTAAACGTGTCACTTCATCATTATCATCACCCTTGTTTTTTTCTGCAACAGCACCGCAAGTCACTTACTACAGTCATGGAGAATTACTCGGTTCAACAGGAGAGCCAGCGCATCCTAGAGGAGCAACTGCTCAAGAACGAGCAATTATCCCTCCCCCGCGAGTTTGCAGAAGCAGCAAAGCGAGTCAAAATTACTGGCAGAGATCCCAAGCCATTTATCCCGACCCCATGTAAAATCACCGAGTCCGCAGCGGCGCTGGCTGCCCTCGTAGCGGCCGAAGGGAGTGCCATCAGTGCCGACCGCTACGGCATCGGATACCAAGCCGCCGAAGTTGATACGTGAGTGCCCGACGTTCGAAATACATAAAGAAGGGCTTGCTGCTTACACCCCTGGCCGTGTTAGGGACCTCGCCACCCTTTTCCTAGAGTCCATCATCCTGCCCACCATCAATGGCAAGCCGGCCATGCAGGATGACCGCGTGCTGGCCGAGTTAAAGAAGGGGGACTTGTACGACATGGCGAAGCCTATCCACCAGCAGGCGACAAACGTTTACCAGACCAAGGATGGCAAATGGTACCATTTGCACGGGTCAATGAATTCCTCAGCGACGATGGGCATGGTTGGCGTGGAAGAGCAGGACGTCACGCGTGACGAGGCCATCAAGATCTTCAGCGACAAGGTCGCCCAGTATGACGCCGCGTACCTGGAAAAAACGGCCAACGAACACCTTCGCCAAGCAGGGGTGACGTGCCTCACCCCCGAGGAATTCTTTGCCTCGGAACACGGCAAGATCATGGCGGATGAACCGCTCTGGACCATGAAGCCGGTTCCCGCACCACGGAGCACCTGGCCAGCGCAAAAGTCGGACAAGCTCAAGCCGCTCGAGGGCATACGTGTCATTGACTTTTCCCGTGTGATTGCTGCACCCGTTATCTCCAAAGTCCTGGCCGT